AAAATATATATATATAGAGAAGGAGCTAAATAGTGGATTTTTTAATATGTGTTCTATAAGGGAAATTGTTCACGAAACATTTTTGCTATAGCATTTAATAATTATTCCTGTAACTTTGCAGTTAGGAGGTATATAATGAAAAAAAAATAATGTGAATGCTTACAGCTTTTTGAACCAGGGCAAATAATATATTTTGACCTATACCAATCTCATTTTTTTGACATATGCTAGCAAGGGAGTTGACATTTAGCATTATTTCCATTTACTTATGCACATAGGTGATATTGTTGTAATTATGGAACAGAATTTTGAGAGGCTAAATAGTAACTCAGAACAAAGAAGGTGACTATGATAGACTCTAAGTCTCCTAATTTGAAGATCTTCATCCTTTTTTCCCTCCATAACATGGCAGAGTAGATTGCTACGTTTCTTTATAGTTGAGTTGGAGAGATAGACAAGATATATATAGATAGATAGATAGATAGATAGATAGATAGATAGATAAAGAGATACACAATTTTTAAGCTGACTGAAGGAAATATGAGGGTGAAATATACAAAATACTTTCAGACCAGATTACAAAATATCTAGAATCATCAGCTGAGAGATGAAGGGCATGTGAACTACTAGAGATGGAAAGGAAAGCAGTTTTGGAAAATAGCATGATAGCATTATGTGTTCAAAAGTTCTATGCAAGAAGCTAAGAGAAAAGTGGTTTATGATCTGTGTACTTTTATATGCTCAAACTATTTAAGACACAAAACATTTATTTAAATATTACTCACATTTTCTTCATAGCAATAGAAGAGATATAACAATGGCTAAAAATAAAATATAATATAGTGACTGACATTAATGTTATATGAAAAATAAGAACAGCCAGAACCGGTTTGGCTCAGTGGATAGAGCGTCGGCCTGCGGACTGAAAGGTCCCAGCTTTGATTCAGGGCAAGGGCATGTACCTTGGTTGTGGGCACATCCTCAGTAGGGGGTGTGCAAGAGGCAGCTGATCGATGATTCTCTCTCATCGATGTTTCTAACTCTATCCCTCTCTCTTCCTCTCTGTGAAAAATCAATAAAAAATATTAAAAGGAAAAAAAAGAAAAATAAGAACAAAGAAGTAGCATCTAACATACATAGTTAAAACTCCTTAAGGGAAACATTAACCTGATTTCCTTACTTTGAGATTCAGATACCTGGTATCAGGTGATTATTATTGTCTTTGTTGTTTAAAGAAATGCCTTTATTTACTTACTGTTTAAATTATTTTTTATTTTTCAGTTACAGTTGTCAATCAATGTTATGTTAGTTTCAGGTATACAGGATAATGGTTAGACTTTTATGTAACTTATGAAGTGATCCCCTGATTAGTCTTCTACTACTCACCTGACACTGTACACAGGTATTACAATGTTACTGACTGTAGTCCCTCTGCTGTACTTTACATATTCACAACTATTTTGTAACTGCCAATTAGTATCATTATTATTACATTAAAACAGAAAGAAGGGGATTTTTAACTCAGAATATAATAAAATAACATGTTTTTTCTGATATACTTATTTATTTAAGTGTATATATATATATTTTTTTCCATCACCATATATCCCCCATCCCCTCATTTACCTTCACCCACATCCTCCTTCCCCCAGTGTAACACTGCACTGTTATCTGTGTCCATGAGTTCTTTCTCTTAATTTTCTCTTCTGCTCAATCTTTCCACCTCTCAACCCCCATCTTCCTTACTAAGCTGTCAGCCTGCTTTCTGTCTATGAGTCTGTCTCTATTTTGCTTGTTAGTTAAATCATATGGAATTTGTGCTTGGCTTATTTCACTTAGCATAATGTTCCTTATGATTGAACTAATGCTCCAACCTTAGAGCTGTATGTGGTTTATTATACATAGTTACATGCAAAATAACTGAAAGGATAATTAGTGATTATGAAGTTCATTTCTTACATACCACAGAAATGGTAAAAACTTTTTATTTCAGAGGCTAAGAGCCTAGATCTAGTCTGTGTGCCCTTCGTTTCTTGTCTCACACATTCTAATTTTCTCTGCTTTAGAGAGGCTGAGTGATTAAATCAAAGTTTTTGCTTGTCCACTTTTTTTAAAAAAACAGCACCATCCTTGGGTACCATGGATTTCTTCCTTTCATTTGATCAGAGAAACTCAGGATGCAAATTGAATCTTTTTGTTCCGCTTGCCCCTCCATCATCACGGTGTGGAGAATGGCCTGCTGCTGTGTGCATGGTGGGAAATTAAACTTCCTTTGTTGGGAAGAACTGCATTTCACATAGATTAGGACATGCATACAGATCCCCACTGATATACTAGTAGGACCATATTTCTTGTGGGACATCTAAATATATGTTTCCAACAATAAGCTATGGCTTAGGAGAATTTGCTAGTTAATTATTTAATGCGCAGTAGTATGTAGTTTGCATGATGATTATGTGAAAAAATGTGCAAAAATGGACAACATATACACAAATACAAGAAAAATGTACAGTGCTGTTGTCTTAAGATGATAGAATTATAAATTATATTTTTCTGTCATGTCTTTTCTAGGCTTTTATATTTTCTAGAATAGAGTTGCTTTTGTAATGAAAATAAAATAAAACAATACTGTTCAATGTTGCATATGAAAAAAAAGGACAATGTACAATTGAGAAGAACAATGATATATGAAAACTGAGTAAGCAGGAAAGGAAGGTTCCAAAACACAAGTTATACCTTAAAAAAATGGAACAGATCAGAAAAATAGAGAGAAGCAAAAACAAGGACTTCAAAAGAAACAAAGGAAATGGATGAATATACTTACTCATGAAATAATCTTTACCTATTTATGTGGCCACCTCTCAGAATTCTTCCATTGTTACATCTCTAAACGTAATTAGAATTTGTAAACAAACTACTCTAACCAATGATGCTAACTGTAGTTGTGTATTGTCCTTGGGCTTTGTATGTGGCCAAACCATAGCAGTTGAAAATGCCTCTTTTAAAACATTCTACTAGTGGCTTGGTGCAAGGATTCATGCACATTGAAAGAAAATTAATTAGAAGAAATATTTTTTAAATGTATATTTTATTGATTTTTTTACAGAGAGGAAGGGAGAGGGATAAAGAATTAAAAACATCAATGAGAGAGAAACATTGACCAGCTGACTCCCACAAACATCCTACTGGAGATTTGCCTGCAGCCAAGGTATATGCCCTTGACCAGAATCGAACCTGGGACCTTTCAGTCCGCAGGCCAATGCTCTATCCACTCAGCCAAACCGGTTAGGGCTAGAAGAAATATTTTAATATCACTATTCACCCTTTATAATAGAGTGTCAACCAAATTCATGATTGACAATGACGGATTGAAATACGCACATGCAGTTGGCGAGAGCTTTATATGTATTGTGCGTGCACAAGTCAATGCTTATTTTTAAATTGCCAGTGCATGTCATCTGTACTGGCCAGTTGGTTGGGCAGATGGACAGTCAAGTCACTTAGCTTTTTATATATATAGACTAGAGGCCCGGTGCATGAAAAGTCGTGCACTTGTGGTGTGGGGGAGGGAGGTATCTCCTCATGCTTAGCAGGGGAGGGCCCCCTCAGTCCAGCCTGTGCCCTCTTGCAGTCTGGGACTCCTTGGAGGTTGTCCACCTGCTGGCTTAGGCCCGCTCCCGGGAGTGGGGAGTGGAGAATCAGGCCTAAGCTGGCAGTTAGATATCCCTCTGGCATCCCAGAATCCCCGGGCCTAAGCCATTAATTGGACATCCTTTAAGCTACGGTGAAGGAAGGAGCTGCTGCACTGGCCAACCATAAGCCGGCTTCTGGCTGAGTGGTGCTTCCCCTGTGGAAGTGCACTGACCACCAGGGGGCAGCACCTGCATTGAGTGTCTGCCTCCTGGTGGTCAGTGTGCATCATAGCAACCAGTCGTTCCCAGTCGGTCCACCTTTATGGTCAATTTGCATATTACCCTTTTATTATACAGGATAGGATGATGCATCTGGTTTGTTTCTTCTTCTTAGAGCAGAAAAGAAAATTGCTAAGTGTTTCACTTTACAGATGGGGAATAATATTTTTGCCCTGTGCACTCTATATGGAAGAGAGAATACTAGTAGGATACCTTTAGGTTCTAAAGACATGCTCAGTACCATCATTCTAAAGAAATGATCAACACATATCTTATATCTGTTTTTACTGGGCACAGAAAATTCAAATGACTGTATTAGTGTTGCTCTTACTCAGTATTCAAGGACATCTTGAAAATTATGAGGCCAAGTAGTCATTAATATTCCCTGCAACCCCTCCAATTAGATAGATAGATAGATAGATCTGTTTATCAGTAATATTTTCAAGTAATATTTTACTTGAAAAACTATTCATTTTCACCTGCCTGCCATTCCCCACATCTCTCCCACTTACTCAGAATTTTCTTTCATGTCATTCTACTTGGTGTTCAAAATATCCTGCAAACCCCACTCCCTCAATAAAGCCTTTTCAAATATTGCTACCCATGCTGATCTGAACCTATCAAATACCGGAGTTTGTCACTTTCAACATTGTTTAGTTTGTCTAGTATGTGTGGTTCTGTTTCCCTTGAGGGTATCTGTCATGAGTTATAAGTCCTTATACATTTCTTACACAATATGGAACTCAATACAGTGAACTATGTCAAGCATGTGCACAATACCACATGGGGTTGTGCCATCATTGACTCATTGTCTCTTCTCTGCCCTCAGCTTCTGAGAACCTGGAAAAGTGCTAGGCACTCATAAATATTTATAGATAATTAGGCCGTCCAATTTAGGGCTGGCTCATTTTTACCAGGATAGGGCATTGCACGACTCAATATGGGTACGCTTTAGTCCTACTTATTCTGCGTTATTGTGTAACAAATAACAAACTCTGTATTTACTTATACAATTATCTTAACAAATGACAAGTTCATTTTACCTATGTTTTAAAACTGCAATCCGTAATTATAATTTATTTTTTAAAGGGCCTCCCGGACCCCCAGGTGAAAAAGGAGATACAGGCTTTGTTGGACAACCTGGCCACCCAGGCATGCCAGGTCCAGTGGGTATGATAACAGAAACCTCTTGGTCATATACATGTCCATGTATGTGCGCAGTGTGTCTATACATTGAAGGGCACATCACCTGTTCCAGCCGCCTAATCACTATCATGTACTGAATGGCAAACACTGATTTGGAAGAAAGTTAAACGCTTTAGCCAGAGCAGCCACATAGAGTGGTTCATAAACCTCAGAAATGTAGGAGGCTCTCTCTACCACGGGCTGAAGACAGTATAAGGCAGTGATCTAGCTTTAGCTCACTGTGAAGGAGAACAGTAAAATCATCTTCACTTTGAATATATTTGCAAGTTACCTGGTTTTTAGGATACAAAAATATTCATTAATAGCAGTCAAAAGCAAGTTCGCTTATATTCCTTGTATGGCCCTTAAGTGGAATGCATCTGCATAAACCTACGGAATCCAAATGTAAATACTGACTAGAATGCAGGTGATTTTTTTTCTGTGCTTTCAGACATTCTCTGTATTTTAGTTAGAGCAAAACTGTTTCAAATGATTCTTCTCTGTCTATGTTGTAATCTTGAAAGCAATATTTTGAAAGAAGATCGTAGAAGACAGAAAAGGCGAAAGAGCATAAACTTTCTTTGCTCGCAAGAAAATAAAGAAGACAGAAACAATAACATGATTTTCATGTTATTCTTGGCTAGAAATCAATTACCCACATGCTTTTTGAAAGTGGGGAGTATATTGCATGGTCTAATTATAACAAGGTGGTTTGTGCAGACAAAAGTGTCTAAGTATCATGTATTTCATCTTATTTTTCTGTCTTCTGAGTATATGAAAGACTCTCTTTTTCCCCCCGCAATCAATGTATTGACCACCCCAGGTGACATCAGAAAAATAATTTTTAAAAATGAAAAGCATGGATTTTACACCTGCCTGACCGTCATTGTGTTTAAAAAGCCACTATATGACATTTATGTGGGAAAAGTTTAAAAAATCATTTTAAAGAAAAAAATCTATTATATATCTAATGGGTTGTTTGTGTGCTTTGGAAAGTACTGTCAGGTAAGATCTTTTATTCATAAAAGTCTTTCTACTTGACTAGCATTAAGCAGATCTTAATAATGGTGCATTAATGGCATAAGCAGGTGAAGTAACCAGTAGTAGTCAGTCAGCTGCCAGAGCTGCTATGGTCGGAGGCCTGTCTGCTCCTCTCTCACAGAGCATGGTTGTCACAGCTTTATAATTCAGACATAAAAGCGGAGAAAGCCTCATCTGGGAGCATCTTCTGCAGCTCTTTCTGAAGTATGGATGCATGAAACACGAAAGAAGGATTTACAAGCCTTAGCTCTCGTTAACACCATAAACAGATGCCAGGGTAAAGCTGCTTTGATTCATGGAGTGAGGCTTAGTCTAGCGCTGTCAGTACTGCTCATTTACACAAACAGGCATTATCCAGGCCCTCATACCAGAAAGATTTCATTTGTGGGGGTGGACTCTTTGAGGAGGTTAGGTTCAGTCCACTTGGTTCAGTAGACTGTAGCAGAAGTACCCATGTCATCAGGCATCTCTCTTAATGAATGCCTCCTTCCTTAATTGCTGTGTTCTGTTTTGTCCTCTGCCAAATTGCCTAAATAGGCCATACTTGGTACTGGAATAAAGAAGTTAAGAATATATACCGTATTTTTCGGACCATAAGACGCACTTTTTTCCCCCCAGAAGTGGGGGGGGGAAAGTCCCTGCGTCTTATGGTCCAAATATAGCCTACACATATACTTAAAAAAAAAAGTTTTTTTACTTGCCCGGCTCTGTGTGGTCTCTGTGTGCTTGCCCGGCTCTAAAATGGTTCTAAATGCTGCTGTTTACTTTACAGGGTTGATTACATGTGTTTATGACTGTGATGTTGGGTTTTAATGCACATAAAATATTTTAGGACACTATTTGTTTCAGAATCTTTTTTTCTTCATTTCCCTTCTCTAAAAACTGGTGCGTCTTATGGTCCGAAAAATACGGTAATGGACTGTCAGGATAATTCTACTTCCTGATTTGAGCAAGTTTATTAAAATTCCACCTGTACATCTGATTAAACCCCCTAAACTCAGCTTGACAAAGTCAAAGTCACTTAGACTCACACCAACAATATGAAAATCTGAGAAACTTCACTGGTTATGCTAGTGGTCTTAAATAATACCATCACAATTTTACTTATGTACAGCGTGGATATTATGCTAAAATATGCTTTACCTCAAAATAATACGATAGAAATTTATTTCAGAGTGTCATTTCCTTGGAGTTATGCCAGGGAAATTATTGCCTTTTACTCGAGATTCTGTTCTTTCTCTGTGCTGGTGCTTTATAAGCCTCTGTGGATCCCGTGCACAGAAATACAGTTTCTGCCCTCACAGATCATACAGGATGATGAGTAGTTATATAACAGTGATGAATTTCATAACCAAGGATTCCTGATCTCACATGAGATTTTGGGGGGCCACTTTGGGGGAAATTTCATCATGTCGGGAATGCCTGGAAGAACACCTCCTAGTTCCTACAGAAACCTCTTGGTAGCCATTCAATGGACCGTTTCTTTCCATTGTGGGATCACAGGGCTGCCTGACCTGCATGCACAGGAGGTACGACCTTTATAAGATGCCTTGAGAGGGTACCAAAGACTCCTTGGCTGTAAAATTCTCATCCCCTAAGGCTGTTAATTTTTCTTATGTGGTCTGTATTTTCCACCATGGATTATGCCTCTGGAGGAGAAAGGAACACTATCCTTATGTCAGAGGTTGGAGTCCAGGAACCTTATTGTATCAGACTTTATCTCCAGGCATGTTTTTATTCTAGCCAATCCTACTGCCAGGCTGACCTAGGGAGGCCCCGCCTCAGGTGTCCTTAGCATAGTGCTTGCTAAAATATACACGTTGTGCCAATGAATTTAAAAAAATGGCACTGCTAACTATAATATGTACATACATTAAATAAAACTAAATTTAGCAGCCTTCACAAAAGGCAGGTGAAATACTGTGTTTCCCCGAAAATAAGACATCCTCCGAAAATAAGACCTAGTGCAACTTTGGGAGAAAAAATTAATATAAGACACTGTCTTATTTTCAGGAAAACAGGGTAATAACTATCCTGTCTAATAAAGAGGGAATATGCAAATTGGCCATCACACCATAACAAAGATTGTGGCTTTCACAGCCACAAGATGGTGGCACTCAAATAAATCAATAAAATATATTTTAAAAAAATAATAAAATAAAATTTTAAAAAAGTTATCATTATAGTTACAGCAAATCCTGCCATTTGAAGATTCCTGATTAGATAACATAAGCCCTTTGGTTAAAACACCAAGACTTTTTCCCCCTGATATGTTTTTATTTGTAATAACAATGCTATTTATTGAAAACCTACAATGTACTAAGTACACTAATGTTACTACCTACTGATGTAAAATGGATGTTTCTACTTACTGTTTAGATATAGTATATGGAATTTTAGGAAATATTCTATTCTTTGGAGATTTACCTATATCATATTCATTAACGACACTATATTGTTTCATTATACTCATTTTCTTTTTATTCATTAACCATGCAGGTCCTCCAGGTCCTAAAGGTGATCGGGGACCAATTGGCTTTCCTGGAAATCGAGGATTCATAGGACCAGCAGGGAAGACTGGGAGGCAAGGTATTATGATAATTGTATTTTCTTCATAGAATATGTAAAATAAATGCTGGATCATAGCTATTTTTTCAGCTTCTTATGTAGCAATGGCCATCACAGTATGAATGGTAGCACTCAAATGCAATACATTTAGTGGTCTGAAACATTTTGAAACTGGTTATTATTGTCCTGAGGAAAATTCCTATGTCCCGAAGGGAAATAATTAAAAAACAACAACAACAGAGGATTTATAAACTCCACACAACCATAAATCACCATGAAGAATGGTATCTATTTTAGAACAAAGAGAGTGGAAAGACTGGCAAAGACAAACAAGCAAAGTACAAATATTGCTTTAACCAAAACCAGCCAAACCCTCTTAAGGTATAGTTAGCAAAATACAGATGAACCTGAAATTCTATCCTATGCAAGATAAACTGCCTGCTGTTATATAGTACTACTTAATAATCAACCTTATTCATATCCTTTAAGATTTACATACATGATGATATTATTTCTAGTCCTGACACTACCCAGTAGCTTAAGCTTGAATTATTAACTTTGCACAGACATTTAGACTTGAGCACGTTTATTTTTTCCCAATTTAAATTATGACCAAAAGAATATGATCTTTATTATTTAAAAACTAGTGTGTTTTTATAGTAGTTTTAGGTTTATAGAAAAGTTGTACAGAAAATATATACTTTCCACATACCACCTATCCACGAATAGTTACCATTATTATTTTTATTTTTTAAATATATATTTTGTTGATTTCAGAGAGGAAGGAAAGGGGGAAGTAGAAATAAAAATATCACTGATGAGAGAATCATTGATGGGCTGCCTCCTGCACACCCGCTACTGGGGATTTATCCCGCAACCTGGGCATGTGTCCTTACTGGGAATCTAACTGTGACCTCCTGGTTCATAGGTCAAAGCTCAAAAACTGACCGGGCCGGTTACCACTATTATTCATAACTAGCCTTAGAGTGGTGCATTTGTTATAAATGGTAAACCAATATTGATACATTATTACTAATTAAAGTTATAGGCTACATTAGGATTCACTCTTGGTGATGTTCATCCTATGGGTTTAGACAAATGAATAATGGCATGTATCCACCATTATAATATACAGAGAAGATTTACTGTCCTAACCATCCACTATTCCACCTACTCATCTTCACCCAGTTCCTCCTGAACCACTGATCCTTTTGCTACCGCCATACTTTTACCTTTTCCAGAATGTCACATAATTGGAGTCAAACTATATGTAATCTTTTCAGAGTGGCTTATTTCACTTAGCAATTTAAGTGAATGCATTTGAAGTTCTGCATATCTTTTTTTTGTTGCCTAATAGCTCTTTTTAACGCTCAGTATATCCTAGTGTATGCATGTACTATAGTTTATTTATCCATTCAACTATTGAAGGACATCTTACTTTCTCCCCAATCTTGGCAATCAGGAAAAAAGATGCGTTAAGCATACATGTGCACATTTTTGTGTGAACCTAGAAGTGCAGTTGCCTGATTGCATGGTAAACTTGTGTTTAGCTTTGTAAAAACTGCCAAACAGTCCTTCCAAAGAGACCATACCATTTTGCATTCCTGTCAAGTCAATGAGAATTCCTATCACTCCGGATCCTCAGGCATTTGGTGTTGTTAGTGTTTTGGATTTCAGCAATTCTAATAGGTACACTGAGGTATTTTTGTCACTGTCAATGTTTATGGACTGGCACTAGCATGAGGCTTAGAGGAAAATCAGCAGGCCACAAATAAGCAACCCACACTGTCTTCCCCAGAGACCTGAGTGCCTGAACTGAGTGGTCTATTTAGGTACCAACCACCTCTCAAACCATCCAGCTTTAATCAGGCCTTTTTGTCATCCTAGGAAGAAGTGTTTGTTCATTTGTTCATTTGTTGGAAATTATCTGCATCACTCAGGAATTGTGAATTTCCTATATGACAATTGGGGTTCAATAGAAAAAAATTTTTAAATTTAAATTTGAAAAAATTTCAAAGCTATTTATAGATTCCAAGACAATTCAAAATAATTCTGTGAAGTGAGAAAACATATTGTATCAGTGAAACGGAATTTTTGGACTGGAACACCACGCAGTATTCCGCCTGGGCAGAATGGTTCCTGGTTCTTTTTCTGTGGGAATCAAAGAATGAAAACCATGGGTGGAAGGAAGGTGGTATATAGCAAAGGTGGGAATTTACTGAAGAACAGATTTCCTCGTGGGGAAAGGGAAAGATTCTCACAGCACAGACTCCCACCTGGGGAGGGGGAAAGAGTCCTGCTGAGTTCCTTTTCCTAATGGCTTATAATAAAGGCTGCAGATCTTGGTGCCTTGATATCCCCTCTGATTGGTCACTATTTCCTTGGCCTGGTTACTATAGTAACTTCTGAGCTCAGAGGTCAAACTCACAGGGTACATATGAGGTTCTCTCCCCGCCTCCTTCCTTATTGTTTTCCTGTTCCCTTTCAGGTTTCTTCTTCTCCTTCTGGATGAAGGGCTTCCTTCCCTTTATTTTGTAAATATAGATCTTCTGCTATTTCCTGCTCCCTCATTCTATGGAAATGTACCTGTTGCAGCTTTTCAGCTCCCCTATTCTATGGAAATATACCTTCTGGTGCTCTGCAGCCCTGTGTTTCTCTTCCTTTAATTTCTAAAATTTCCCAAAGCCTGTCTTTTTTTACCCCTAAAAGTTCCTGTTTCATCTGTATTCTAAGTTTAAAATGAAAATGGTGTATTAGCCTGCTATGTATCTCAAATAGCTGGTCATTTACTGTCCTTGGAAAATCATGGTAAGATAAATATAGCATAGTCACTTCTGTCAATGGCCATAGAGAAATGCAGAAGCAGTTAGCTCTGATGCAGTATGCTAAGTCATAAGCCTGTAGGAAGCAGGACAAAATGCTATGGGAGCAGAGAGTAGAGAATGATTGATTCTGTGCAGCAAAACATGTTAGTGTTAGCGCAGACCTGAAAATTGCATGGAATTTGATCATCTGTAGGGGCTGTTAAAACAGCCTGCTGGGTTTGATACCCAGCATTTCTGATTCAGTAGGTCATGGATTGCATGCCCAGAAATTCGTTCACAGCCCAGTCTTTGGGATGCACCACTCTAAGGAGATGGAAAAGAAGACAGATAAAATGGTAATGGGAATAGAACAACACAGCTTAGATTGAGGTGGAAGTCACCAGGATTCCTGGGGTAGGGAGGAAGGCAAAGTCAAGAGAACAACTAAGATGAATAATGATCAGCCAGCGTGGCTCAATGACTGAGTGTGGATCTATGAACCAGGAGGTCACGGTTTGATTCCCAGTCAGTGCACGTGTGTGCCCGGGGTTACAGACTCGATTCCCAATAGGGGGTGTGCAGGAGGCAGCTGATCCATGATTTCTCTCATCAGTGATGTTTCTGTCTCTCTCTACCTCTTTCTTCCTCTCTGAAATCAATCCTACATAATAAAAGCCTAATATGCAAATCTACCAAATGGCAGAATGACCAATGGAATGACCAGTCACTATGATGTATAGTGACCACCAGGGGGCAGAGGCTCAACACAGGAGCTGCCCCCAGCCTGCAGGCCCCAGGCCAGCCAAGAAGGATGCCAGCAGCCCCTTCTACAGTCCCCCAAACCCCCGCATTGCCCTGCTGGTCGCCCTGCAGAGGGAGGAACTGCAGCAGAGGGGGTATCGAGGTGGCAATGGCCAATGAGTGTGCCAGTGCCAACCCCGATCACCCCACCAGCTGCCCCACAGATCGGCCCTAATTGCCTGCCAGGCCTAGGGGCCCTACCCATGCATGAATTTTGTGCATTGGGCCTCTAGTAAAAATATATATATTTTTTAAAAAGAAACAGGAATATTTATTTTACAAGAAGATGAATAAGTCCAAACCCAGTTGATTAACACCTTAGTTTTGCCTTCTTGTAGGAAAATGGATATTTAATGCTCTTGTACATTATTTAAGATAATGTGTGTAAAGGATCTACCCAGAACAGTGCCAGGTTTGTAATAGGGCTTCTAGAATAATATAATGATATAATAATTATCATCATCAACAATAGCATTATATTAAAATTCTGCAGGTTGTTATAAAGTGATATTCTAGATTACTCTGTGATGTTCTGTCTCCATTTAAAGTAAGCATCGTGAATTGTCAGTATTTTAAAAAGCGTTTTTTTTTTGTTTGTTTTCTTTTTCTATTTCCCCCCAAGGAAATCCTGGACAAAAAGGCCAGAAAGGGGAAAAAGGGAGTAGAAGCATGGCATGTAAGTTTATAGTTTCTTGTTTTTTTGTTTTTTCTGTGCACCTCTGTAATAAACAAGCTTTGATAGTAGAGGTCTGGGCTTGAGGCAACGGCTGAGAAAGAACTTCAACATTGATCCATAGAGAGTCTGGAAGTCAGCCCCATTTTCCACACACACAGTGTGCTAATTGGAGTAAAACAGATAGATTAAAATTGTACAACACTTTGAATCTCATTACCCATTTGTGCTTTGGTTTTGTGATGAGCACAATTTTCTAAAAAGTCCATGTAGAAAACTGTTCAATTTTTAACCTGTTAACCGAGTGGGACCTATAAATACGTCAAACATAAACAATATCAGGAACGGGTAGGACGTATGCATATGTCATTGAAATATATGTTGCGCCCCAAGAGGGATGGTATATATTTTTTGTAATCTTTTTTTTTTAAACATTTCATTGATTTTTTACAGAGAGGAAGGAAAGGGGAGGGATAGAGAGTTAGAAATATCGATGAGATGAGAGAGAAACATCGATCAGCTGCCTCTTGCACACCCCCCACTGGGGATGTACCGGTAACCAAGGTACATGCCCTTGACTGGAATCGAACCCGGGACCTTTAGGTCCGAAGGCCAATGCTCTATCCACTGAGCCAAACCGGTTTCTGCTATTTTTTGTAATCTTTATCATTGTTTGTAAAATTTATAATTTTTAATTCTACGTGTCCATTTTTTTTGGTCGGTATTCTTTTCTTTTTTTTGGTAATTTTGTATTTTCCTTTGTGCTTTATATATATAAATAAAAAAATAATATGAAATTACATCCTTCGGGCGTGACGTACTGACACGTCCTAGTGAAAGAGTATGCGCCCGTTACAGGTTGTGTCATTAAAAAGGGACCTCCCCGGTTAACAGGTTAAGCCAATTTCTATCTGATGAAGGAATAATTACAGCCACCTTACCTGTGACCTGAGCCAACAGAAATATTAATATAGGAACCTGGACAATGTAAGAACCCTGACAGACTAATTTTCAGATGGCTGGGGATTTTGTGTTTTGTTTTATTTAACTAAAAATGTGAAAAGTGGTATTCTGTGTCAGAGACCTTCAAAACTGCAAAAGAAGAGATTTCACAAAAGGAATCTCTGTTCAATGGAGGCTAATCTCATATTGCAGTGTAGAGAATCTGTAAGTTGGGCCTTCCAAACTAAATATTAGACAAGATGTCTTCAATATGCCAAAGGCAATCACTGTCTTGGCCAAATCTACACAGATATAATGAAAGGATTATGAAAATGAATAAGGAATTCCTACTTCTCAGAATTCAAGGGTTGCTCCCCTGGATTCGCAATAGGAGCTACTTGAGATGTTTGTGTGTATGTCTGTGGGAATAGCTGATACACATACACACGGATCATAATCCTTACCCATGTCAGTAATATGACTCTACCTTTTTGCTCTCAATAGCTATACATTATTCCATTGTACAGCTATACAGTAATTACTATATCATTCAATCCTCTAGTCATGAGAACTTGAAGATTTTTTTTGCTTAGATTTGGGTTTAATAAACTGCTACATATAGTATTCTCATGCATGATCTTGTGGGAATATTTTTAATAGAGAATTTTCCAGAAGTAGAATCAATATACAAATTATGGCAAATTCTTTAACATACAAACAAATCTAGCAGTTTTTCATAATAATTATTTAAAAATACAGTACCAATTTCTCTGCATTAACAAAAGTAATTATTTTAACCTAATGCTGTGTGTGGATGCCCCCTTTAGAAAATTTAGCGTCACCATTGTGAATGCCAGGCATTAAAGTATGTATAACCACATGACTTTTTCATCAATTTTGCGTTGTTGATCTCTTTGCCCTTGAATTAAGTAATACTAGCATTGTGTTTCTCCTCAAAGTGCTTTAGTGTTATTCAATGATTATTAGTGTTGTTATTATATTAAGATAGTAGAGACATTAGTATATCTTTTTTCCTTTGATCACTTTGAACTACTGTATACTTTCCCCCCTCTTTTCCCCCTTTCTCCTTGTCATCCATTTGTTTTCAGTTGAGCCCCTTGTATAACTCACTCTTCCCTATCTTTATGTTTTTCTCTATCATTATCTTACCTTTGTCTTTGGTTCTTCTTTATCTCCTTTTCTCCTTTTCTTGAGACTTTCTCTGAGCTACTTAACTATGACTGGTTAATCTTGGCAAATACAAGACTTCGTTATTTTGTAGTGTGTAAAGCAAACACATTCACAGTCTTCTGTTGCCTGAGGTTATCAAATGCTTTTTTGATGTGTTCAGAAATGTTTTCAATTTCAGATACTTTCATAGATGTTTGAAGTTCATGTGCACTCTTTCTTTGTCAAAGCATTAAGAGAGATATTTCTGTATATAAGTACATATAGCCTCCAGACTCCACGGAGAGTATATAACTCTGTGATGTTTCAAAAACATCTATACAATATGTTCTGCTTTTCTCTTAAAGTTAATATGCCAGTCATCTGCCCATGTCAGTACACATGGCTCTACCTTTTTGTTCTCAATGTATATACATCATTCCATTGTACAACCATACCGTAATTATCATAACATATCATTCAGTCCACTAGGCTTGAACACTTGATGATTTTTCTTTTTTGCTTTGAAATAGCTTTAATAAACAATGCTAAATACAGCATTCTTCTACATGATCTTGTGGGAATATTTTTTAGTAGAAGAATTTTCCAGAAGTAAAATCAATAGTTCAAAAATGACATGCATTTTGCAATTTGATAGATTCTTGCAAATGGCTCCTAAAAGATTGTACCAATTTATTCTATATGAAAGTGCCTGATTCCCCACATCTTCAATTGATTCTAATATATGAAAATTTATATTAAATTATTTTAATATACAGTTTTTATATGTTTCAGGCATTATTTAAATATAATAACAATAATAATTAAATTCCTCTTTTATATATGTGTCAGGACCGGTATCACTCCCTGATCATATTAGGGCAGGACCCTTTTAAGATCAGGTGGGCTGACGGGACACCTTCTGCTACCATCTCATTAAAAGGCCCTTCACCTCTGGACAAGTCACCAGTACAACTGACTCCAAGATCCCTTTGTGACTCCTCCAAACAACCTTGGTTTCCGCGTGGTGCCCAGCTTCCTCCTGGTTTCCTCTACTGGTCCTGGGTACTGTTTGGGCCTCTGTTCTTATGCTCATACCTCTCCCTAATCTAGTATCCCATCATCACCCCTTAGCATTCCTAACTGGTATTGTATGACTGGCATGTTTTTCCAACCAGCCCTCAGCGCCAAGCAAGGTATCCTCTGCCACCCACTCATCCAGTGTTTGCCGAACCAATTTAGTCCATTGGGTTCTAAGAGAAATCCCATGGGTACTGACTAAATGTGGGTTCTTTACTTTAAAATTATGCCTCAACCAGCAATAGGGATAACAAGAGAAAATCCATTCATTCATTCAACATATGTTTATCTTATACCTCCTGGAGCTGAACTTCACAACTAATAAGATTGCTGTTGTATCTGGCTTACTGAGCTAATCATCTCTGAAAGATATAGACATGTAAATAGACAATTATAAAGTATAGTGGAACTGTATTGGAGGAAGAACAGGGCTCTCTATAGGTGTTTAAAAGAGATCAAAATATTTACTTCCTTAGGAGATTAAAAAGATAAATTGATTTTGATTTGCTTAGTTTACCTTCTTGTCTTCTTACCAAATTACAGCATTTTTTCCAAGTTTTATAGTGAGGTAATAGTTCATTGAACACATTTTGAATAAGAAACGAAACTTGTTTTCTTAAATTACCTGGCCATTTCAAGTAATACTTTTTTTGTCATTAAAAAGTAATGCTGAGATATATATATATATATATATATATATATATATATATATATATATAAATTTTTAAAAGCTTTTTATATCTTGTGCTATAAATATCGAATATAGATCCTGGAGAAAAGAAATATTTTAGTAGAACTGGAAATATTTTGTGTGGGTAAAGAAAGGGCTAAAAATGAGAAAGGATGAAAGATTAGAAGAGGAAGATCAAGAAAAAAGAATAGGAAATATGTGGGATTCCATGTCATTCTTGACTATCTCTCTATTAATAGGTTACATTTTCACAACTCCTCCTTCCTTCAAGGTTTAACACATAATCCCAGGATTCACAGCATTAGGTCTAGTAGAACTCTGAGTAGTGTGCCTGTATGTATCTCACCACTTCCACCCCCTTCCCTATGAAACGGACGTCTGACCACCTACCTCACAGGGTTGTTGTGAGGATCACGTGAGATACGCTGTGTGTAGGTACTCTCTATAATCATAAAGTGCTTTAAACACATAAGGCATGGCTCACAGTGTTCTCTTTTGAACTGATTGCTATTCCTTGTTGGTATAATGTAGACATTTCAAATCTGTAATACGAAGGAGTGAAAGCAAAATGAAAGTTCAAGAAGCCAAAGAAATGTCATGGACAGAAAGAGAGATGCTAGAAAATAAGATAAGATTTCACATTAGACAGAGCAATGCAGGTGTGACCAGATCACAAATCAAGGAGTTTGAGCCAAGCAGAAGAGCATAAATTATAAATAAAAACAGCATCCTACCTGAGTGCATGCAAGAGGCCATAAGCTGTCAGTAGAGGTCAGGAAAAAAAAAAAATGTCAGGCTCATAAAACAATAGTTTTGGCTCTGAAAGACAAAGCATGAGCCCAAGACACTGCTGATGAGAAAGCAGCTGAAATGTTGAAATAAATCAGAATTGTCAGTGATACTCTGGGTCTGGGCCTCCATGACACCAGTCTCAGGGGTTAGGAGGGAGAAAAGGAAGAAGGGGAGAAATTAGCCAGTTGTCAGGTAGTCCTAAATGTTAGCAAGCTGGCAACATTGACTAGCCAGTTAGTGCAAACATCTGAAACTAGTTGGACCTCTTTGTCCATGGTTTAAGTGGACAGGACCTCCTTCCTGCTCTGCCCTGGGGAGCAGGTGTAAGCCG